TAGCGGTGCAAACAAACCCTTCTTTTTATAAGAAAATTGCGGTAGCATTCAGACACTGGAAACACGATTGAGATGCTACAGGCAACAATTTTGAGACTCTAAGACACTAGAAACAGGGTTGGGATGCTGGGACAAATTTTTCAAAGACGTTTTACATTCGTAGTATTGAAAAGCTACCGACAGCTGTATCTCAACACTATCTCCTCGGATTATGAGCTTAAATCTTTGTGGTGTATTCCTCCTTTCTCATTTTGATTCCAATTTTTCCCTCAATTTGATCTAAATACAAAACATATTTTATGTAATTAAATCTGTCATGAGTAATGCAACTAATAATCCAACTACAATCCACGTGAAGTATAACTTGGGCTACCAATAGCATACCAAATTACCCCCACAAAACACTCAGATCCAAAATCCAAAGACTTCCCCGACGACCTTTTAGATTCCGCAACGTATCGAATTAAGAGCAGTGGCGGATCTAGAAATTTTGTTGAGGGGGGCTTCATATTAATTTATGATAATTAATTCCAAAGAATTTATAAAACTAGCAAGATTCTTTTTGTAAATATGCTCTACTAACTTAGTGTCGAATATTCAATTGAAGGTGGAAAAGAAGTTCTCAAGTACAAGGGACCTGCAAAAGACCAGGTATATCCTGAATGGTTTGAGTCACAGTACGCTGACCCATCTCGTACAGAAAAGGTACTGGTTACATCAAACTTCAAGGTTGATTGGCACACTCTTGAAATCGGAAAGAATAATACATTTGTGAAGATAAGAATTAACCAGGAGAACAAAAGGATTCCTGTATATCATGATACAATATGGGTAGATACAGAACCAATCGAGGTCATAGACTTATCAAGCCTAAATAACGTTAGCAGAAAAATAATGGAATCACTATGGAACGAAACCAGTCAACTACAGAATGAGAATATGATTCTCAAAGAACAATTATCTATAAGAACTATTATTACTTTTTAATCCCCTTATCGAATTTTCTTATGGTATCTTTTAATTTAGATTTCAAATTAAATCTGGTTCAGTTTCATAATTAAGAGTTCAGATTCCAAGATTTTACTAACTAGAATGCTTGAGCGCAGGTTCAAGGTTCAATGCCTTTGTAATATACATTATTAAAAGGTCAGGCCCTCACACTTATGTACATCCGCCCCCGATTGGGAGCAAGAATCATTAATCATGTGGTTCAAACGAATCCACCTGTCTTTTCTGGCTGCGTTTTCCCACCAATTCGTAGGGTTGGAACTCTGCGGCAGAGGTTGATCCTCTGCTCTCGTGTGCTTAGATATTGGTCTACACCACAACTAAGAGTCTAATTCATCTCTTAAGTGTCCACCATCGAAAATCCGAAACAATCAAACTTCATTAATTGAGACCAAGAATTTGTCGAAATTAATATAGTTTAACATGGGAAATTAAAGTCAACGTACGTAGAAGGCAGTGACAGAGTTTCCCGGTACGACATTGATCTTCATGCTGACTTTAACCAACAGGAATTGGTTCTTCGAAGCAAACCCACATCCTGAAAGACAACACACAACATAAAATTATGTTCAGATCTTGAAAATTTCTCTCTTTTTTACTTGTCCGCTGAATTAAAATGTTAAATTTCCCCCGAAGTTACCGGAGGCCTGGTCAAGAACGAAACGGATTGCTGTTCCGCCGTGGGGTTGGTTGATGTGGGAATCGGACCACGTAATCCTGAAATCTTGGAGAAATTTGGCGACGAAAAAAGAAAAAACGAGAGGGTAAAACGCGTGGCCATGGCTGCTCTGTTTCAATCTGATAGGGAAGAATTCAGAACTGTGGGCAGTCAAATGGAAACACGAATCAAGAGGCAGAGAGTGAATTTTCCGGGTTGCCATAGATATATTTTCATGACTCGCTGTCTCAGAGTCAGACCCACGAAGCAAAGATTAAAGGCAAAACTTGTAAGGATTGTGGGGGCCAATGCAATGGCTGCCCCATCACCATTATTCATAGCCATTGGAGCTCTGGAATAAGGCGCCCAAGGAGGTAACGTTTACTTAGTTCGTGCAACTCTGTACAAAATCAGCCACTGGAATTCACATTCAGATTGATGGTTGATTTTCTCCCATTTCAACTGCACACCTTTGAAAACTAAGCTTATAAACACCCTATTCCCACCTCTGTGTTTCGTTGCATTCTGCCATTCACTTTCCAAACCAAATTGTGAGGAAGCAAGTTATAATTTTGAACAACAAAAAGTGAAAACAAAACGCCATCGCAGGACTAGACTGGGTCTCCGAAGATTATGATTGATTTATGTGGTGGGGTTGGTGCAGTGCAGAGAGCAGAGGGGGGGCCTTGGAATTAAGTTGCAGAAGATATGGAGGATATTCTATTAAAGTATACACGACAATATCACAGTGAGTTTGTTGTGGTTTAGCCAGCTTTACAAACTTGTACAAATTCCCATCCCCTCACCATTTTTTTTTTGCTCTTGCTCAACAAGTTCAAACAGACAAAATACAAATGTCGGTTAGGCTACACTTATATTTATGAATGAAGCAATTAAAGTTAAACCATGGTTTATTAATTCAATTCAAACTGGGGTTTTACAAGTTCAGAAATTGACAATCTGGGTCGACGATATAATAATCAAATTTTTGGGGGGCATGGCAGAAAATTGCCGAAACCGAAACGAAATCCTGTAGACCTCTTGCTTGGGAAGAAGAAAGAAGGATATGGATATGGATATGGCGTGATTAGGTGGGAGTGTTCAGAACAAACTCACAAGAAAACTTCATTAAACCAATAGAAAAAGAAAAAAAAAAAAGACAAAAGGGAAACGAAAACGAAATCCCACTCCCACACAGCTGCCATTGCGCTGCACACCTCTGGTTATGGAAAAACTTTGCAGCATTTCGGAGTATTTCCAAATTTTCCTCTCGTCTTCTGCCTCCTCCTTTGTCTTTTGCTTCGTCGTTTCACTGTTCCAATAAACTCTTCTTCCATCTTCTTTTCTCTTTCCTCAATTATTTTTTCCCATTTCCAATCCAAAGTTCAAACCCCTTCATTTTTGTTTTCTTTTTTACTAGTTAATTTTTGGGTTATAGTTTTTTGGCCTTGGCCTTCGGGGCTCTCCTTTCGAGTTCTGAACTTCTGAGGGCTTCTGCACTTTTCGGTACTCCCTCTTTTTTCTTTCGGTCTCTGCAAATTTCATTTCTTTTTTCCTTTTCTTTTTCATTTGTCTTCCACGTTCCATCATCTCAAATATCTTTCCCAGACTAAGACAGATTCAGAGCAAATTATATTCATATATTTGCACGTACAAGCCAGCAATAAAAATAAAACAAAATCAGAAGCTAGCTAATCTCGCCGATTCAGATTAACTCTCACTTCACTCTTCAACTTCATTCGCCACCCACTTTTTTTTCCCCTTTATCTCATTCCTTTTTATCCCTTTCTTGTGAATAACTTTGCAGCTTGGTTTTATTTTTAACCTCCCCTTCTCCAGGGAGAATTCCCTGTCTCTTTCGCACCTCCACTGAGAAAAAAGAAGAATGAGTTGTGAGTGTAACAACAATGGCGTCATTGGGCGCAGCAGAATCTTGTGTGCGACTGTTCCTTTTCTCTTTCTTCTGATTTTGGCATCGACCCAGATGAGATTCATGGCTGAAGGTAACTGGGTATCTTTCGAAACTTCAAAAAGAGTTCAAAAACTTGAAATTTCATAATTTCAATTGAACTGTTCCTTGTGGACCTGTTTTTGTTTTTGCAGGAAGATTGGTTCCAAAGAGAGGCCAGGTCAGTCCATAAACCAGCCCCCTCTCCCATTTCTTATAGTGTAATCCTGTTTTTTGAAGGCTAATTTTGGTTTGTGTGTTTTGTTTTGGTGAATTGGGATAGACAGTGGGTGAAGAGAAAGTGGTATTGAGAGGACAAATTGGGTCAAGGCCTCCAAAATGTGAAAGGAGATGCAGCTGGTGTGGGCACTGTGAGGCCATTCAGGTGCCTACAAACCCACAAAAATCAGCCAACACAAACTCTTCAGCATTCAACAACATGGCTTATGCAAGAGATGAAGCCTCCAATTACAAGCCCATGAGCTGGAAATGCAAATGTGGGAGCCTAATCTTCAACCCCTAAACAAATAATCCATAATACCCCACTTTTCTTTCTGTAAATTAGTGATTATATATCATTGTTTCTTTTTAACTTAACCCACTCTTCTTCTTCTTCTTTTTTATTTCCTCCTCTATCTGATCTCTTTTGTTTTGGAACTGTTTTGGTACTGAAATTCAGGGTTACGTTGAAAGCAGGCATTTGATGATGAGTATTATTATGTATTGGGTTTCTTTCTATAACATGCAACAGCCTCATTCTAATACATAATACATAATTAGTCCTGAAAATACCAAATAGGTCTCAAATCTCAATCTATTAGGTAATTCTCAGATTTAGCTTACATTATTAAAAAATCTCAATTATGTCAAAAGGGTATTTCATGAGGAGTGCAACTTGAAGTTGGGACAGTGGAGTACGAAGTCGTGAATGTGGAGTTTGATTAAAAAAAGTTTGTAAATTGAATAATAGAGAGAGAAAGAGAGGGTCTGAAAAGCAAAATGGAGTAGATTTTGATGAGTGGTCATTGGCAATGGCATTGGAGTAAGGAGAAATTGTTAACCGCACGGCACTATTTGGTGGCCCCAACTCCGAGAAACAAAATACTTAATAATAACCGAAAAATAAAAAAATAAAAAAATAAGACACAAGAGAGATCAGACAAAGAATTATGGTTTTGGAACTGTTAAAAAACATTTCCCAACAAAACTTCAAACATTTCCTAGGTGGATTCTCATTTTACTACGACCATTCAAATTACAAAGCTTTTTCTAACTTCAGAGTTTAAATGGATTAAAATGACATCCCAAAGTTAAAAGCTATTCAATCTTTCTTTCTTTTTCTATCTTTTTATGCAGACAAGACTCGACATAAGTACAAGTACTCTCATATCTTGTGAAAAGCCAAATTATATTAGATGTTATGAACCCAAATCACTTTGCAGTATGACATCAAAACCAAAGTCCTATATGGTCATGTATTTGAAACTATAAGTAACACAAAATTATCCAACATCATTCAATTCAATTCATTATTGTGAATTGGTTATAATTCCCATGACAACTTTATTTTCAGGTTTCCATAGGCAGATGAAATGAGATGAGATGCTTAGGAAACACATGCATGCTTCAATTTAATGTTCCCTTTGTAAAAAGCTCTGTCCTTTGTTGCAACCTTTCTTGAATCTAAAAGTAGCAAAATTTATGTATACATATAGCTGCATAGTATATGATTAGAAAACAATTTTGATTGGCTCTTCTATCAAAATATTCTATAGATAATGAATGAAGGAACAACTCATACCATGCTATTTTCATAGGATCCATTTTTTCAAATTTAGAATTTTGAAAAGAAAGAAGAGTAGACTGTCCTATACAAAGGAAAAATCTATCCATCTCTCTCTATATATACTCTAAATAGTCTAATGCATATCCTTGCCTCCCACTATGAAGTAGTGAATTGAACCTCTCTGTACATTTGATTTGCCCTGAGGAAGGCATGCTACCCAACTTTATTTCATTTCTTCAGATAGGATATGTCTTATTTCCCTTTTCTAGACACATCATTCCAATTTCAGTAAATTTGTCTAGGTGATAGTATCATAAAATGTTTTTACAAGTTGAGAATTAATATGGAATTGATGTATGCATGTTTATATTAGGATCGAGATCAATAATAATCATCATCGTCTCACGTGATTAAATAACAGTAAAGAACATCCCAAATATCCTTGGAGAATTGGGGATGATATGATTGTGAATTCAATTAAAAATTTAATCTATAATTAACCCATCTGGATTTAGATTTTTAAGCTTATAAAAATTGTAAAAAGTTAATGTCAAGGTCAACCATAAGAAGTACATAGTGGGGTCAAGAAGAGTGTCAAATAAAACTTCATAGCATATTCCACGAAACTCTAAAAAGAAATGTAGCTAAGAAGTTCTTCGCTAATACATCAGATCGATAAATGAATATTTTTTACACTAAATAATAATATAATAGAATAATGGCCAACTCAGAAGTAGTTGCAAAATCACACAAGGAAATCATATAGAGAGAAATGAAAAAAAAAAGAATAGAGATAATCATAACAATGTAATCTTGTATGTTAAAAAACCCTTTGTGACCAGAATCATTTGAATAGTGAGTGAAACAACTACTCGTCGTGTTTAACTTAGAATTCTGTGTAAATTATTGATCTTAAAGATGAGAGAATGTCGGTGCAGAAATCGAGAAAATGCAAAACTGAAAAGCTGGGGCTCGGCATCAGCAACAGTGGAGGGGAAGAAGAAAGGATTCTGATTCCTCATGGTCATGGCTTATTTCTCAAGCTTTTTTGTGCTTTTTCATCGGTACTAAAAGCGTTGAAAACAACCCCACTTTCCCAGCTGGGCCATACCCAATCCTCTTCCCCCTCACGGCCACAACTGAAACCGCCATGATTTTCCTTCTCATAAATGTATTAAATGAGAATCACTTTCCCAATCAGACTCCATATATTGCCACCTTCCATGCCTTTCGCCACAAATTTCACCAAAAAGAAAGCCTTCCCTTCAGAACTTGGCCACTGCCACTGCACATGGAACCCCCCCTCCCTCCTCCTGTGCAGTTGCTTTCCTGTCTTAAAACAAGGGCATTTAATGGAGGTTGCTATACAATACCAGATACCTGCATGTTTCAAAAGAATGCAGCCTCAATTAAGGCACAGGGAAAGGAAGCTGTCTTTCAACCAAACATACCCAAACCATTTGATGTCCATTGGTTTGTATTGAATACTGATTCTGAATGGTCCAAGAAAATATTCACACCTCTCTCCAGGCCCATCATGCCATTCATAGTACTAGTATTCATATCAAAATGAGAATTTGCATTTCTTTTTAAAAAGTAAAATAGTATTTAGGAAGGTTAAAATTGAAGTTAAATTCAATGCACTCAGAGGCTGCACTCTGCCCTTTCCTTTGAAAGAGAACAACTAACCTACCAAGCAATACCAGCCACATACTTCCAATTCCAACACAGTAAAATATCTCAGAAACTACCAACTTTATATTTCTACTTTGCCACTAATAATAAGTCAATAAATAAACTGCTGGAAAGAAGAAATAAGGGTAAAGTTATGTATATTATTCATGTACCTACCTGCCTTAGTCTTACTATTAACACCAATTTTCATAGAATGTTTGACCTGATTATTTCAAACTCTAATTTCTTACATCTTAGGAGGGAACATAAGACTAAAAATTCCATGTTAGCCTAATTTTACTTTATTGGTGAAAGTAACCTACATTATCACTTTCTTTCGCTCAGGGCATCCGATGGGTGTTTAGGCTTTTCTATCCATTTTGGTTCCTAAAATAATGGATGGTGTTTGAAGCATTCTTTCTCTCAAGCATCGGCCAAATTAAATCATTCTTCCTCTCTAACAACAGTCTCCCTCGTGCAACCATGATCTACAAAACAAATCATTCTCTAGCTCACCTCATCCAAACCGCTCTCTTTTGCTACAACCGATACGTACATACATTGACTAGGACAAGTTTTCTTATTTTCCTGGTTTATCTCCCCAACCTAACATATGAACTCCTTGATACTTGGTGTTCTACAGGTGGTGGTCGCCCAAGATGACCAAAGAATAAGTTGTATTGTACACTGCTCATGAATAGAGAGGTTTTGTTGACATCTTCACTTTTAAACATAAAAAATAATTCAGATACAAAGACAATTGTATTAATAATAACATACTGTTAGCGGAACTTAAAACATTCACTTATTTGTAGTCCTCTTTTATATACAATGCTCGCTACTAAACAGTAAACAGTAGACAGTGGAAGTCCAATAGGGAACAGAGAAGCCGAAACTGTGCCTCTTCAACTGACCAACTAGGTTGGACATCATAGACATGGCCATTCAATCCTTGCACTTATCTGCCTGTAAATCTGTAGAATCGACCTACCACACCCATCTTCAAATTAGTCATCGTGGGCCTACAAGCAAGGATCTCCTTCATTTTCTGCTGTTCCTTTTTCCTAACTATATTTTCTTTTATCAGTAGTGGTTGGGGGCTTGCTAGGCTAGCCTATTGCACATAGACAAGCTTTCAATGGTCAAAGAACCGTTCTTAGATTAGAAAGTCAGGAGGCTAACATCCATCGTTTTAAACTCGATCTAAAAAATTTTGTTCAATTGGATGAAAAGAGTTTCAAGACTCAAACCCAGAAGGAAGAAGTCCCACCTCATTTTGGACAAGCAGTCAATGATTTAGGATGTTAATTCTAGAACACATTACTGTATAAGTATGTGTAAATCCTAACACGTGAGTCGAGCCAACCCAGAAGCCTGCAATCAGACTGCACGATCTTTTGAATAAAAGCTTTCTCTAGAAACTTTAAATTGATTGTGTCTACAAAGATTCACTTCATTTTGAACAGCAGAATACATGAATTTGGGAGCTAGTTCTTTTTATAGGAAGATTTAGCATGCTAATTTAATAACACATAATTGAAGAAGTATGTAAAATCCTAACATGTAATGATTTCAGGCCAGCCAAGAATAATGCAATAAAAAACATGGTTCATTGAATAAAAAGCTTTCTTCAGAAAACTCATCATAGCTGTCAATGACCGTGCACAGGACTTTCCACTGACTTCTTCAGGTTCATCCTAAAAATTAATAATCATATTCAGTCTACTAGCAGCCCGGCTATCATCCCTCCCATTTACCTAAAAGGCCATGCCAGTGAAGATCTGCAACTCCAAGAAGTTGAACTTGAACGAAAGAAAAACCTGGAAGCACATCCTTATCTAGCGGGGTCGAAATAAAAAATGATGTAGCCAGAGTCTTCTTGATCCAGAGTTTCGCTGTAGATGGCTACTCAACTGCACAGGAATATTTGCATAAAGTTTCTGTTCGATGTATGAAAACTTCAAATTCCAGCCATATCAGGTTAGGAATGACCATTGCATACTTTTTTACTTCATATGATGTCAAAAAAGTTGAAGGATTTTCACAAGCCTTTTACCCCCACATGACGTTGCTCCATAAGACTAGACTATCGTCCATGAAGTCTACAAGAATAATATAAGTTGCATAATGTTTTTTTTCTGGAGTGCCATCTTCTCGAACAACTTCAACCTGTGCACTCCGCTTGAACATTCACGGTGCTCTAGAGTGATGGAGCTGGAAGCTCTCTTGTTAAGAGAAAAAAAAAAGATCTCACATTAGCATACCCAGCCAAGAGCCTCTAACTATGCATTCATCAGGAGGAATCTCGATGAAAGAGAGATTGGAGAATAGGTGTTTATATTGCTTGAGGCGGATACAAACAGAATCATTCATCTTGGATTAGTAGAAGGTGGAACCTTTCTTCAGGTAATCTCAACAGCAGATACCTAAATCTATGATATCTAGGCCAATTGGTCGTTCCTTTATCTCTGTGTTTTTGCACCTATCCTTGTGTTTTGGTTAACTCCAACCGGCAGGCATTTCTCTAGTCTTAGCTATCTTGGCACGAGAGGATGCCTCATCTGGCCGTTTGAACTATCTTCTTTAATGGAAAGTTCAAGGAGATGAAAACTGACACCGTTAATTAGAAAGATCATGTTGGAAGTGACAGTATGAGCTCAATTTTTACCCAACTAGGCAACTACTAATTTCAGGCAGATAAACCAACACAGTACTCTAGCTTAATGTCTCGCTCATATTATCTCTAGAGGACTAAACTACCTGATGGCTTCATAAGAAAGCATTGCACACAGAGAAAATTAATATCAATTTTTACCCAACTTTGCAGCATCTTCTGCTCACAAAGATAGTATCATCCGACCCTTTTTCCCGATAATAAGTATGTCTCTCTTGAACAACATCAAGTGACCAAGACACAATTCTAAGACATATGAGAAGCTAACAAAAGCCATTTACTCAGTTACTAATAGTTGCAATGGAAGCATATCAATATGGTACATCGTAATAAAGCTCAGATGGCTCTCCATGACTGTTAAACAACCCACATAATATCCCATAGAATTCAAAGCACTGGCATATATATCTTATATCAGAGAATAATAGCAATCAGTGTTGCGCCCACTGGATTTCCTTGATGTTTATCCCCTCCTTTACCATTTCATAAAGGGGACTCATTTCCCTCAATTTTTCCACCTGATGTACTGTTAATTCAATTGCTCGATCAATCTCAGCCTCAGTGGTGAACCTCCCGATTCCAAACCTGATTGAAGTGTGAGCCATGTCCTCATCCACTCCCAACGCCCTCAACACATATGAAGGCTCCAAACTGGCGCTAGTGCATGCACTCCCGCTCGAAACAGCCACATCCTTCAATCCCATAAGCAAGCTTTCCCCCTCAACATAAGCAAATGACAAATTCAGATTGCCAGGATACCGCCTCTCCATACTACCATTCACCACAACTCCTTCAAGCTTTGCATTTATGCCATTCAGAAGCCGTTCCTGCAGTGCAGTTATTCGCTTATCATCATATTCCATTTCCTTCATGGCAAGCTCACAAGCTGCGCCCATACCCACAACCAATGGGGTTGGCACAGTCCCACTCCTAATGCCCCTCTCTTGTCCTCCTCCATTCATCTGGGGCTCAACTCGAATCCTCGGCCTCCTCCGCAAATACAAAGCTCCAATACCCTTCGGCCCATAAACCTTATGTCCACTCAAAGACATCAGGCTCACATTCCACTTCTCCACATCAATTGGAATCTTCCCAAGAGCCTGAGCCGCATCAGTATGGAAGGGAACACCGAATTCCTTGCAAATTTTCCCAATTTCCTCCATGGGCTGAATAACACCAATTTCATTATTAACCGCCATGACCGAAACAAGACCAGTTTCGGGTCTAATCGCGGAACGGAGCTTCTCCAGGTCAACAATTCCGTCCGACCCAACCGGTAAATAGGTAATATCAAAACCCTCCTGCTGTAAATGTCGGCACGAATCAAGAACGCACTTGTGCTCAGTCTGAGTGGTAATCAAGTGCCTTTTCTTTTCTCTATAGAAGTGCATCACCCCCTTAACGGATATGTTATTGGACTCGGTTGCTCCAGATGTAAAAACAATCTCCTTAGGTGAGGCACCGATAAGAGCAGCAACTTGGGAGCGAGCGGTCTCGACGGCATGGTCCGATTCCCAGCCGTAGAGGTGCGTCCGAGAGTGTGGATTGCCATAACGAGAGAGATAATAGGGAAGCATAGCGTCGAGCACCCGAGGATCAACAGGCGATGTGGCTTGCATATCAAGATAGAGCGGCCGTCCAGAGATTTTAACACCTTTCATAGAAATCCCAGTTTCGTCCTCATGAGGCTCCGACGGAGAAGTGACTACAGCAGCAGCAGTGGAGAGAGGGCGGAGGAGCGAGGCGGCTTGAGTGGATTTTGTGAGGGTGCGGCGTAAACTTGATGCAAGAATCTTGGAAGCCATTGAAGAGGATGTATTGGTGTTGGATTCACGCTCTCTCTGAGAATTAAATATGCTTAAATACAGTGGCGAAGATTCGTCACTCAGAGCTCTTCACTCTCAATTTTAGGGCACAACTAAATAGAGATCAGGCCAATTTCGATCGCCGACTGACGAAGGGTATGGGCCAATGTGTTGACACGTGGCAGTTTTTTGACCGAGGGATTTATGATAGGATGGATCAGCCAGGATCTGACTTTTTTTTGTCGAGTTGCCCAAGATCTGACTTATAAATATACCGTAAATTGTAAAATGACTCCTAAAGATACAATCCATGGTCAACAAAATAAAATATTATGATTCATTTTAATCCCTCGTCATTATTTATTTACTTTAATAGAACTCCAAAAAGATCATTCATAATTGAATCTCCACTTTAAATATTTATGATAGTTATAATTTTTAATCATTCAAATATTAGATAATGAAAGAATGAACGTAAAAATAAATCCCACGAAAAACTGTCAATTTTAGCATATCTCGAGATTCAAATCTTCATCCGAATTCAAAAGAAATCTCACCGGAAAATAAATAAAGAAAATAAAAATAAAATTAAGCTTTGTTCTTAAAAAAGAAATAAAATTAAGTTTTAAAAAGGAAAAGAAAATTAGTGTGGAGGATAAAATTTTCAATTCATGGCCCTCAACCATGTGATTGGGCTGATTATGCGCTGGCATATAAATAGGCAGCACCACCGACGAAGAAATTCATCAGATCCAAAAATATCACTTCTTTTCGCTGTACGGAAATTGCATGAACTCCGGTTGGACTTGCGAAGAATTCCAAATCTTCTCTCTGCTTTTTCCTTGCCGGCAAAACTATTAACCAGCATTGCCGACGCTGAGCTTTCTGATCCGGCTACACTTTCCAGGTTTTTATTCTATTCCTTCCCTTTCTGGCTCCGCCTTCAGTGTTCCAATGGCCATGTTCAAGCTTAGTTAATATGTGGAATCATATGATTTTTGCTTTCTATTTCGGGAGGAGCATTAATAGATCTGTCTTGTTTGCCAATCTAATGCACAGTTATGTTGCTTCGTTCGTTCTCTGTATTTTCCTCCATTTTCGGTCGCCAAACAGCGGGTTGCTGCAGATTTTGGCAAGGAGAATTGAACCTATGATAGATAGAATGTGATTGATCCAAATTCCAAATTGCGTTTCCTATTACATATTAAAATATTGCTAATATGTAAAAAATCCATTTCTGTTATTTTCTGGAAACCAGAAATGTGAATTTATTTGATCGCTTGGCTCTGAATCTGTTCGCGTTCTGTTTATTTATTTATTTTTATGGTGGATATTTATTAATTGAATGATGGTCGTTCAATTTTTTGGCAGGGGTTTGGAGAAAGCATTAAGGCTTGGAATTCATAATGTTCAGGTCATCCCCTCGAAGGAATCAGAGATCCAAAGGCTTCAAGGTAAAGCATGCTTTACAGACATGTCTTTTGCTCGGGGTTTGCATCTGGCTCGTTTACCAAGTTCAGCATTCTCGTGGTAAGAAAGCTACTTTTGATGAAAGCACAAAAATTGATGATGTACTGAAACTAGGGAGGAAGGACCTCCATCCTCGAGTCGATGAAATCATCATTAGAGATGAGAGCCACAAGGAGGATGACGAAGAAACCAGGAATGAAGAAAAGGGCGGTGGGAATGATGAGTTTCATGATCAACAAGAAGTTCAAGAGGAAACTGAGAATAAAGATTTTGTGGTGGATATAGAGAAAGAAAGAGCGGAGAATAGCGAGGTTAGAAAAGAAACGGAAATTGAAGATAACAAAGAAATGGTAAACGAAGTGAAAGGAAATGAAGAGATTAAAGAGGGAGAAAATGATGATAAGGAAAATGGGGAGGTCGGAAAGAGTCAAATTGAAGAAAGTGGAGAGGAGGGAAGAGGAAGAGGAAGCGAAGAGAATGGAAATGAAGAGAGCAAAGGGAAGGAGAATCAAGAAGACAAATGGAAATGAAGAA